CTAAGTTAGTGTGGAATATTGTTGAAAAGAAAATTATGGAGGCCGATGAGGCTGTTTTACTCACTGTTGAATTTGTAGTTTTTTTTTTTTTAAACGTATTAGATTTTTAAGTACTTTAGAATTTCAAATTTGAATTTTGTACGGATACTGTTACATTTTGGAGTTCAATTAATAATGATTATCAAATTTATTTGATATTGTTATCTTTATCATAATTTGTTGTTGATTTATGTAAATTGCTGTACAAATAAAAAATAAAAATTGAGAAAAAAATATATAAAATGATCTATAGCAACGGTCAAAAAATGTTGCAAAAAATATGGATACAAGTATTAGCAACGGTTAAAAAACGTTGCAAAAAAATTATTGGCAACGTTCAAAAAATGTTGCAAAAAGGTTATTCGCAATGCAACAAAACTTTGCAAAAAAAAGTTATTCACAACTTGAAAAAAAGTAGCAAAAAGGTTGTTCGCAACGCCAAAAAAATATTGCGAAAAAGATTTTTCGCAACGCAAAAAAAAAAAAGCAAAAAGGTTTTTTGCAACGCGCAAAAAACGTTGCGTATCGTTCACTTGAGGCAATAACGAGGTTTGCAGCATATGGTAAAATGTTGCAAAAGGTCTTTGAACTTTGCGAAAAGCAATTTTTGTAGTAGTGACATTGTCCTCAATGTGTACAAGAACAATATAAAATAAGGAAAGAGGATTGATGCTTCCTCGATTAAGTGTTCGTTGAAAGATGCTAACGATGGCTTTTTGGGTCACGGCTTAGTATACAATGCACCCCCAAACTTGTTCAAATCCATGGTTGGCTGGGATTTCAAAAATCGTAAACTACAAAAGAATGGTATTAAATCGAAAATGCAATACCAAAATTATTAATCACAAGTAACTTCAAAAAGGTATAGGGTAAGAAAGTTGGATTGCCTTCCAACAAGAGCTTGTTTATAGTTTTTAGCTCGACTATAGGGCTTGTTCCTGTTGGTTGAAATCGCAACTGCACGAGTCCTAACAAGTAATAAAGTGAATAAGTAAGAATATCGTCCCACGAGGAATGAAAAATTACGAATAATTATCAAAATTTATTAAATGATGATCTATTTGACAATTCGAATGTAAATGAATTATTAAACCATAAAGTTTAAACTAAGATGAATTGAACAAGCAAATTAAGATCAAGAAAACAATACTCTAGAGTTTTCGATTCACCATAACTACTCATATGTGAATATCCTAATTGAATTAATTGTACGTGTTCCTAATTGTTGATAATCAAGTCTTTCTAATTTATTCATTAATCTTTCTCAAGCATTAGCAAAATATCTCAACAAGAAAATTTTCTACATCTCTGTGAAAATTCTAAGCTTGTCAAGATTCATTAAGAACAAAAATAAACCCATAAAGATTACACAAGTCCATAGATATCTCTATCCTACAGACTTCCTTTGGTATCTCAAAAATTGGCTAAACCAATTATTACTTCTCTATCTCAAATTGAATCCCAACTCAAGTGAATGGTGATCAGTCAATTCACAAGCATTAAGTCCAGAATGAAATACTCAACAATTGGAACAAATACCAATTAATTCAAGTAAAGGAAGATTCACATAATCGTAGTTAGGCTACATCTCGAACTCTAGAAGATAGAAATTAATTCATGCTAAAATTGAAGAAAAGTTTAAATAAAGAGTTAACATCAAGAAATTGAAAGAGATGGGAAGAAGGAAAAACTCATTGAATCTGGTCTCCCGTTTTCTTGGTGTGGCTTCCCTCTTTTGATGGCCAAAAGGGAAGAAAAAGAATCGATCCACCTTAGTCCCAGCCTTCTTGGTCGTCCTCTGTTCCTCTTCCACTACTCCATTTTTTTTTTTTTTGAAGCCATCTTCACCAGGAAAAGAAAGAATCAATCCCAAATTCACCTCTTCAATTCGGCAGATTTTTAGCCTTGGATTGTGGGCCATTTTTACTTAGAAAACGTGAGAATTTCAAAATCTCTATTTCAGGAGAAATTGTATCACGTTAAATTAGTTTTCCAAGGCCTCTTGAATCAGCTCAATACGACATTGGATGATGGAGATTTGGTGAAAATACGAAGGGCAGTACAAATGTGTTTCAAATTTGGGACTTCTTCACAGCAAGAGATGTCTTCCACAGATTTTGCTCCCTTCATTAATCTTTCCAATCTAATTTATTTTGATTGGGCTGGGTTAAGTCCACCTGAATTGAGTCCTCTCTTATGGGCCTTAAACTTTGTTATTTTTGGGCTCCATTTCTACAATAAAATTGTAAACACCACAATTAGGTTTGACCTTTATTCAACTATATATAAATATCATTATTAATCCCAAATATACTTGTATATTAGCAAATAATCATGAGCAGTCAGCATTAAAAATGCAATCTTATTCACTCTATCACACCCCCTAACTATCGTGTTGCTAGTCCCTAGCAATTCAAGCGAAGAAAGAGTATTGCTACATATCCCAAGTGAAAATCCTTTTACACGAATTAAGCAAAAATATTCAGGCACATCAAACAAAGCATTCACCAGAGATCAAGAATGCTATCAAAGTTTGTCTATCAAAGCACACTTCTAGAACTCGTGTGTGTGTATGTTAAGCTCTACACCATCTTTCCATCAAACCAAAACTCATACAATGTCGAGAACATCCCAGACAAAAGTTATTTTTGCAAATATTAAGTGTAATATTCAACCATAAAAATTAAAAAAAAAAAAAAAACTATTGTCAACAGAGGTAATGAAGGTTGAAAAAAATTGTCACTCAAATATATGGAAGGAATAATTGTCTATGGGCAAATGAGTGAAATAGGAGCGAAAGAGTGAAAGAACAAAATTAATCTCGTGAGAGGATGCCAACTAATGAGAACTCAACCATTCTAACCACTAACCCACTTAGGATCAAAAGGTCAATAAAGTGTTGTAATATGAATGGGGTCAAATTGAAAGGAAGGATAAGAAGATTGAAGAAAAATATTAATTCTCAAGTATATATTGAAGATCTTCATCAATTTGTAGACTTAAGGGCTGTCTGGTGCCCATTTTTCCACCAAGGGGGGCCCCACATGTGAGACATTTGGTCAAAGTATGCGACTGCAATTGTGTCCAATGGTAAAAAAATAGATTTTTTTATTTTTTTATTTTTTGAAATTTTTTGAAATTTTTGCAACAACACACCTTGCTTTAAAATATTTTTCATACCCTTTCTTCATTCATTTCTGAAATTTTTTTTTTCAACAGCATATTCCATAATCTATACTACATACTTGATATTTGAAGGCAAAGGAGATGTTCAACTTAGGCTCAACCTACAATGTGGAGTGGGTGAGGAAATAAATGGCTTAACAAAGACTGATGAGATTTTAGCTCAAAGTGACTTCTATTCAATGAGACATTGGTCGGTTTGAAAGGCTTAAACTACATCCTAAATTGACCTTCATCATTTCCTGAGTATAATCAAACTGACATACCACAAACCGTGTAATGGCATTCCCATTAGTCAACCAAATTTGGGGAATAATGAGATCATGTAACGAGACAATGTTGAAGGTAATATTAAGAATATGATAACATCTCTCAGAAAAATGAGAATGGCCCAATTTCTCACAAGTGTAAAAGGTTGCAACTTTAATTTGAGTGTTCTCTAATTGTATGAGTTCCACATCCATCAAACCACATGAGCTTAGTTTACGTGTATGAAAAGAAAAAATTTCTGAGGTGTTTTAATATCTTACTCAGATAGCACTATTGACTCAAGCAAAAATACATTGTAATCAAGCCAAAATGCCAAAGATGAATTCATGTAAATTGGAATGCATTCATGATACCAAATCTAAATTCATGCAAATAGGAATTCAAAATTTCTGAGGTGTTTCAATATCATATTCAGATAGCACTATTGACTCAAGAAAAAATACATTGTAATCAAGCCAAAATACCAAAGCTAAATTCATGTAAATTGAAATACATTCATGATATCAAATCTAAATGCATGCAAACAGGAATGCATATATTCATGCTGAGCCCCCCCCCCATGTTCAACTTAGGCTCAACCTCCAATGTGGAGTGGGTGAGGAAATAAATGGCTTAACAAAGATTGATGAGATTTTAGCTCAAAGTGACTTCTATTCAATGAGACATTGGTCGGCTTGAAAGGCTTAAACTACATCCTAAATTGACCTTCATCATTTCCTGAGTATAATCAAACCAACATACCACAAACCGTGTAATGGCATTCCCATTAGTCAACCAAATTTGGGGAATAATGAGATCATGTAACGAGACAATGCTGAAGGTAATATTAAGAATATGATAACATCTCTCAAAAAAATGAGAATGGCCCAATTGCTCACAAGTGTAAAAGGTTGCAACTTTAATTTGAGTGTTCTCTAATTGTATGAGTTTCACATCCATCAAACCACATGAGCTTAGTTTACGTGTATGAAAAGAAAAAATTTCTGAGGTGTTTCAATATCTTACTCAGATAGCACTATTGACTCAAGAAAAAATACATTGTAATCAAGCCAAAATACCAAAGCTAAATTCATGTAAATTGAAATACATTCATGATACCAAATCTAAATGCATGCAAACAGGAATGCATATATTCATGCTGAGCACCCCCCCTCCCAACTAAAACCTAACATTGTCCTCAATGTGGAAGAAAGAAAGGGAAAAAATGATAAGAAGAAACTTCCCTGTTCATTGGTAGAGAAGGATCAAGCTTCATCTCTCTTGGCATCCATATCAATACATTCAAGTACTGGACAAAGAAGGTGGAGAACTGCGTCACTGCCACACCCAAAATAAATAAATAAATTGAAATCAGAAAACACACAAAGTAATTAACAAAAAGAAGAATATAGAAAACTAAATGAATTGTAAGGAAATAAAAAAAAAAAAGCAAAACAGAGGTTTGAATGCTTAGGTTGCCTCCCAATAAGCGCTTAGTTATAGTCAATAGCTTGACTGTTGCTCTTCTTCTAGGCCGGATTAAGAAGAATGGTGGTCTTCTTGTTGTCAAATTCTCCACTTAAATAAGGTTTCAACCGTTGTCCATTCACTTTAAATGTCCCCTTCTCATCATGAGTGATTTTCGCTGCTCCATGGGGAAAAACTTTAACAACTGTGAATGGGCCTGACCATCGAGATTTGAGCTTTCCTGGAAAAAGATGAAGCCTTGAATTGTAAAGTAAAACTTGTTGCCCAGGTAGAAACTCTTTCTTTAAGATGTGCTTATCATGCCAAGCCTTGGTCCGTTCCTCATAAATCTTTGCATTCTCATAAGCTTCATTACGAAACTCGTCCATCTCATTAATTTGCAAACAACGCTTTTCACCAGCTCTTTGATGATCCATGTTTAGTTGCTTCATAGCCCAATAAGCTTTATGCTTGAGCTCTAGAGGAAGATAGCGTGCTTTTCCATAGACTAATCAATAAGGAGACATTCCTTAAGGTGTTTTGAATGATGTCCGATAAGGAGACATTCCCAAAGGTGGCATGCTTTCCCATAGACTAACCGATAAGGAGACATTCCCAAAGGAGTTTTGTATGCTGTCCAATAAGCCCACAGCGTATCATCTAGCTTTTTAGCCCAGTCTTTTCGAGAATTGTTAACTGTTAGTAGGAGTTGCGATTGCCTCTACCCACTTAGATACATAATCCACTGCTAGAAGAATGTATTTGTTGTTGTAGAATGAAGGAAAGGGTCCCATGAAGTCAATACCCCAAACATCAAACAACTCCACCTCTAGAATATTCTGCAAAGGCATTTCATTTCTTTTAGATATGTTCCCGGAGCGTTAGCATCTATCACAAGAGGCAATAAAAGTATGAGAATCCTTAAACAATGTTGGCCAATAAAATTCAGATTGGAGAACTTTAGCTGCTGTTCGATGAGGTCCGAAATGTCCTCCACATTCTAGTGTATGGCAATGCATCAAAATATCTGTCATCTCCTCTTCCGGAACACATCGCCTGATTATTTGGTCCACATAATGCCTGTAGAGTATTGGTTCTTCCCAATAGTAATGCTTTACTTCCGACAGAAATTTCTTCTTTTGTAGATAAGAAAAGTCAGAGAGAATGATTTTTCCTGCAAGAAAATTGACATAATCTGCATACCATGGTAAAGGATTGTTAGAAGATAAAAGTTTCTCATCCGAGAATTTATCCTCTATGGGCAATTGTTGGACTCAAGTTGCTCTTGTGACTCTAGCCGTGAGAGATGATCTACCACCATATTTTCAGTTCCCTTCTTGTCTTTAATCTCAATATGAAATTTTTGTAGCAAGAGAACACAACGGATGAGTCTTGGCTTGGCTTCCTTCTTTATGATAAGGTATTTAATTGCGGAATGATCAGTGTAGACTATCACCTTATTCCCAATGAGATATGGTCGAAACTTGTCAAAAGCGAAGACTATAGCAAGAAGTTCCTTCTCAGTTGTGGCATAGTTGAGTTGGGCATCATTAAGGGTTCTACTAGCATAATAAATGGTATGAAACCGTTTGTTCCTTCGCTGCCCCAATACCGCACCAACCGCATAGTCACTTGCATTGTACATCAATTCAAACGATAGATCCCAATCCGGAGCTATAACAATCGGAGCCGACACAAGCTTCTCTTTTAGCAGTAAGAACGCCTTTTCACATTCTTCATCAAACACAAAAGGTGTTTCTTTCACAAGCAAGCTACAAAGGGGATTGGAGATCTTGGAAAAGTCTTTAATAAATCTTCTATAAAATCCGACATGTCCAAGAAAGCTCCGTACTCCTTTTATTCTTGTTGGTGGTGGAAGCTTCTCGATTGTCTCAGTTTTTGTTCTATCCACTTCAATCCCCTTTGAAGAGATTCGATGACCCAAGACAATTCCCTCTTTTACCATGAAGTGACACTTTTCCCAATTAAGTACAAGGTTAGTTTCTTCACATCTCTTCAAAAATAACGCCAAATTCCCAAGACAATCATCAAAAGACGATCCTAATACAGAAAGTTCATCCATGAAAATTTCAATAATCCGCTCTACCATATCTGAAAAGATTGACATCATACACCTTTGGAAGGTGGCTGGCACATTGCAAAGTCCAAATGGCATTCGACGGAAGGCGAAGGTGCTGTAAGGGCATGTGAAGGTGGTCTTTTATTGGTCATCCGGTGATATGGTTATTTGATTATACCTTGAATAGCCATCTAGGAAGCAATAGTACTCATGCTCGGCTAGCCTGTCTAACATTTGATCAATGAATGGCAAGGGGAAGTGGTCCTTCCAAGTGGCTTTGTTCAATTTTCGATAATCCATGCAAATTCTCCACCCATTAACTATTCTTGTAGGGATCAACTCATTGTTAGCATTCTTCACCACTGTCATTCCTCAATTTTTTGGTACTACTTGCACAAGACTGGTCTATGAGCTATCAAAAATTGGGTAAGTCACTCCGACATTTAACTATTTTAAGACCTATTTACGCACCACTTCCTTCATTGTCGAATTGAGTCTTCTTTGATGCTCCACCGTTGGCTTGCAATCTTCCTCCACCAAAATTCGATGCATACAAATAGAAGGGCTAATTCTCTTGATATCTGCAAGTGTCCATCCAATAGCTGCCTTATGTTCTCTAAGCACTCTTAACAACTTTTCCTCTTCTTCAATCGAAAGCTTGGATGAAATAATTATCAAAAAAGTAGATGATTCACCAAGATACGCATATTGAAGATGTTCAGGTAAGGGCTTAAGCTCCAATGCAGGTGGTTTCTCAATAGATGGAAGGGGCCCTGATGTTCCATGTCCGAAATCTTCAAAGTATTTTCTGCAGTTAAGACTAAAAAAATCCATCCACAAAGCATATTCTAACACTTCCGGATCCTCCACCATAGTTGGATTGGGATTAACCAAACAAACTTCCAACGACTCCTTTTGTTGGTTAAATACTTCAGTGACCAAGGAGTCGATTTCTCAGATGCTGAAACAACTCTCACTTGTATCCGGATACTTGATGGCATCAAAAACATTAAAGGTTACCTCTTCCTCTTGTACTCTCAACCGCAATTCTCCCCTTTCGACATCAATTAGAGCTCGGCCAGTAGCTAAGAATGGTCTGCCAAGAATAATAGGAATTTCTCTATCCTCCTCCATGTCTAGAATGAGGAAGTCGGCTGGAAGAATAAACTTGTCCACCTTAACAAGCACATCCTCAATAATTTCCCTTGGATGTTTTATTGAGCGATCCGCTAATTGCAATGATATTGCAGTAGGTCTCGCCTCACCTAGTCCAAGTTTCCTAAAAACAGACAAAGGCATAAGATTAATACTTGCACCTAAGTCACATAAAACTCTTTCAAACATAGAATTTCCAATTGAACAAGGGATAGTAAAACTCCCTGGATCCTTGAGCTTTGGAGGCAATTTCTTTTGTAGAATTGCACTGCACTCTTCAGTAAGGGCTACTGTCTCATATTCTTCCAATCTCTTCTTATTTGAGAAGATGTCCTTCATCAATTTCACATAGCTTGGCATTTGTTCGAGAGCTTCTGTAAAAGGAATGTTAATATGCAATTTTTTAAACACATCTAAAAATTTAGAAAATTGCTTATCAAGCTTATTCTTTTCGAGTCGTTGAGGGAATGGAACTTTTGGTGCTAGATCCGTGGTGGAATTGGTTGATTGTCAGAAATCTCCTCGCTAAGCGTTGGTGAGTGGAGTTGCATCTCTTGATCTTTTTTCCAAACTTTTCACCAGTAATTGGAGCTTCTAACTCTTTTCCATTTCTCAAAGTGATCGCCTTGCACTGTTCCTTTGGATTCACTTCAGTCGTGCTAGGCAAGTTTCCTTGTTGTCTCCCAGTTAGCATATTAGCCAATTGGCCGACCTGGACTTCTAAATTCCGTATCAAAGCCGCTTGATTCTAAAAATTGGTCTTAGTCTCTGTTGGTGTTAGTTACTAATTGTGCCATTGCTTCTTCAAGTGCTGACTTCTCTTTCGGTGGATCACTAGATGACGGACCAGGTAGAGGTTTCAATGCATTCTGATTATTCCATGAAAAATTAGGGTGATTTTTTGATCCAGGGTTGTATGTTGCACTAGATGGATTGTTTTGCCGATTGTAATTTGCAACAAAGTGTGCTTGCTCCACTTGGGATTGAAAGAAGGGATTTCCCAATTGACATTCTTCACTAAATCACAAGCTGGTGGTGTCAAGTGAATGGCATTTGCTGTCAGTTGGTTGGCCTCCAATTGTTGAGTAAGATTATGGACTTGAGCTGTCAAGGTAGTGATGGCTTCAACCTCATGCACTCCTACCGCTTTCTTTGGTAAAATTCTCTCATTTGGCCATTGATAGTTGTTCATCACCATCTCCTCCAACAGATCATATGCATCGTCTAGGGATTTGCCCATAAACGCTCCTCCTGAAGCGGCATCTATTAGAGTTCTTGTAGAGGCAGCAAGTCCATTATAGAAGTTCTGAACTTGCATCCACTTCGACAATCCATGTTGAGGGCATCACCTAAGTAGGTCTTTATATCGTTCCCAAGCCTCGTAAAGTGTTTCACCCTCGAATTGAGAAAATTTTGAAATTTCATTGCGCATCTTTGCTGTCTTGGCTGGTGGAAAAAATTTAGCGAGAAACTTCTTAGCTAAATCTTCCCAACTAGTGATTGAATCTGAGGTAATGAATTTAGCCAACTTTTTGCTCTATCTCGAAGAGAGAAAGGAAATAGCCTGAGGCAAATGGCATCATCAGTAACACCATTTTGCTTGAAGGTGTCACAAACTTCCAGAAAACTTGCTATATGGGTATTGGGATCATCACTCAGAAATCCATGGAATTGAATTGATGTTTGGATCATTTGTAGGATAGCTGGCTTAATCTAAAAGTTGTTGGCTGCGATACTAGGTTTCCTAATGACTAAATTGATTCCTGTGACCTGTGGTAGAGCAAAATCCCTTAGAGCTCGTGTGTCACATCTTGGATTCTCGTTGTCTGCCATAGTGTTTGAATTTTTTCGAGCTTCTCGCTTCTTTTTCCTCGGTCTTTTGGCTATTTTTTCAATTTCTGGATCATAAGGCAATAGTTCCAAGCTCTTTTTGCTTCTCATGCACTAAGCAAAACCTGGAAATAAAAAATAAAAATAAAATCAAATTAGATCAAATTTAACTAGTATTGATATTATCAATAATTTTATCTAAATTCCCGGCAACGGCACCAAAAACTTGTTGGTTGAAATCGCAAGTGCACGAATCGTTGCTCGTTAACCTTGAAGTTCCCCTTTTCTTCATGATGAAGTTCGACCATCCCATGTGGAATGATTTTAAGGACGGTGAAAGGACCCAACCATCTTGAGCGGAGCTTTCCGGGGAACAATTGGAGTCGAGAATTATGGAGAAGAACTTGTCGCCCAATGAATAACTCATAGTTTACAATATGTTTGTCATGCCATTTCTTTGTCTTTTCTTTGTAATTCGAGCATTATCATAAGAATCAAGGCGGAGTTCATCAATTTCATTCAATTGAAGTATTTTTTTCACTGGGAAATTTGACATCAAAGTTCAAAACTTTTATTGCCCAATAAGCTCGATGCTCAAGTTCTATCGGAGGTGGCAAGCTTTCCCGAACAAGAGGTGATGGGGAGAGATACCAATGGGTTGTTTGAAAGCGGTGCGGTAAGCCTATAATGCATCATCCAATTTCTAGGACTAATCTTTTCTAGAGGCACTCCCCGTTAATTCAAGAATCCTCTTCAACTCCTTATTTGAAGTCTCAACTTGGCCACTAGTTTGAGAATGATACAGAATGGAAGAGCCGATTGCAAAAATGTTTACCTCCATCACTAATGATAGCTCAGGGTTGCCATAGCAAGAGAAAATATTTTTCTTTAAAAAATTTACTACCACTTGAGCATCATTAATGGGCAAAGCCACCGCGTCTACACACTTTAACACATAATCAACCACCACCAATATGTATTGATTTGTGAATGAAGAAGGGAAAGGTTCCATAAAATCAATGCCCCACACATAAAAAATCTCCACCTTCAATATAGAATTCAAAGACATGTCATTTCAATTGGAGCTATTACCATTATGTTGGCATCTATCACACTTGGAGACAAGAGTACGAGAATCTTTGAATAATGAGGGCCAATAGAAATCGGATTGAAGTACCTTTGATGCAATTTTACAACACCAAAATGACTGCCATAGGAAGATAAATGACATTGCTCAAGGATGTGCTCCATTTCATCTTCGGGCACAAATCTCAAAATAATTTGATCCTGGCCCATTTGGATAACAAGGGATCATCCCAAAGATAATGCTTGATATCAGCCAAGAGCCTCTTCTTTCGTTGGTAAGAAATATTCGGGGGAGTGTTGTCACTAGCAAGAAAATTCACATGGTCCTCATACCATGTGCATGAGTGGCCTGTAAAAGACGAATGATTTGCAATAGTTGTTCATCTGAGAATACCTCATTTATCTCCCCCATTATCTACCACTTCCTTAGCTTGCTCAAGCCTAGACAGATGATCGACAACAACATTTTCAATCATCTTTTTATCATGGATTTCCAAGTTAAACTCTTGTAGAAGAATAACCCATCTAATCAACCGAGGCTTTGCATCTTTCTTTTCTAGAAAATACTTGAGGGCTGAGTGGTTTGTGTAAACAATCACCTTTGACCCAATGAGGTTAGATCGAAATTTATCAATTGCAAATACCACCGTGAGCATTTTTTTCAGTAATAGCATAGTTCAACTGAGCATCGATCAAAGTCCAGCTGGCATAGTAGATAACACGCAAGATTTTATCTCTCTTTTATCCCAAAACCCGTCCAACAGCATAATCACTTGCATCACACATAAGCTCAAATGGAATATTCCAATCTAGAGCTACAATGATAGGAACCGTGATGATTTTCTCTTTAAGAGTGTTGAAAGCACGGAAACACTCTTAGGAGAAATCAAAAGTAACATTATTCTCAAGTAAAGAGCAAGCAGCCTTGTCATCTTTAAGAGATCCTTGATAAATCTCCTGTAGAATCCGACATGTCTCAAAAAAACTCATTTTTCCCTTTATTGAGGTTGGTGGAGGTAATTTCTCAACGATTTAGATTTTTGCCTTGTCAACCTTGATCCCTTTACGTGAAATTCGATGGCTGAAAACTATGCCTTCCTAGACCATGAAGTGGCATTTTTTTCAATTAAGTACTAGGTTGGTCTCCCCATATCTTTTAACGCCATCTCCAAATTTCTCAAGCATCCATCAAATGAAGCCCCAAATATCAAGAAATCATCCATAATGATCTCAATACATTTCTCTACCATGTCGAAGAAGATAAATATTATGCACATTTCTAAAGTGCGGGTGTGTTGCAAAGACCAAAGGCATCCTTCTATATGCAGATGTACCATATGGGCAGTGAAGGTAGTATTTTATTGATCCTTTGGGGCTATAGGAATTTGATTATAGCCCAAATACCCATCCAAAAAGCAATAATGAGAATACACCGCCAACTGCTCAAGTATTTGATCAATGAAGGAAAGAAGATAGTGACCTTTCTATTAGCCTTATTAAGCTTGCAGTAATAAATTCATGCTCTCCAACCGGTCACAAATCTAGTAGTATAAGTTCATTATCCTTATTCTCCACAACCATGACACCTCCTTTTTATGGCATCACTTGTATGGGGTCATCCATGCAATATCTGAAATCATATAAATAATACACACATCAAGCCACTTTACCACATCAGCTCCAACCATCTTTGATGCTCCACTGATGGTTTAAAATCATCCTCTATAAAACATTTTTTGCATACATAGTAAATGGCTAACCTCCCGAATATATACAATAGTTAAACCAATAGCCTCACTGTGTTCTCTCAACACCTGAAGTAACTTCTCTTCCTCCCATTTACTTAAATAAGTAGCAATGATAACCAAAAGTGTAGATAAATCTCCCAAATAGGCATAGCTCAAGTGAGATGAAGAGGCTTTACTTGAAGTATAGGTGATTGTTGAAGAGATGGTAGTGGTGATGAAGAGTTCTTTTTCAAGTCTTCAAGCCTTCTTGTAAGAACAAGAAGGTATAACCTCCAAATAATGTATCATTGCTCAATTTCATAGTCCCCATCCTTGATATTTGAAGAACGTATACTGCATGTTTTAAGAGGATGCTTAGAAAGCCTGTAAAGAGAATTGGCAGCCACATGATCAACAATATTCACTCGAAGACATAAATTGGAGTTTGATGGGTATTTGATGGCCTTCAAAATATTGAATATAACTTATTCATCTTGGATTCTTAAAATAAGTTGCCCTTCTTGCACATCAATTAGAGCTCCATGTCAAGAATTATATAATCGGCCGGAAAGATAAATTTGTCCACTCTAACCAACACATCCTCAATGACACCCTAGGATATTTAATTGATCGATTAGCCAATTTTAATGATATGGTGGTGGCATTGGCTTCTCTCAATCCCAACTTCCTGAAAATAGACAAGGACATCAAATTAATGTTAGCTCCAAAATCATACAAAGCTTTACTAAAATATAATCACCAATAGTGTATGGAATAGCAAAACTCCTCAGATCCTTGATTTTTGGTGGTAGCTTTTTTTTTTTAAGAATGGCACTACACTCCTTCGTTAGGATCACTGCCTCATGTTCTCGAGTTTTCTTTTGTTTGAATGGATGTACTTCATAAATTTGGCATAACTCGACATTTGAGCTAACGTATCGGCAAATGGAATGTTTATATGTAGCTTCTTGAACACCTCCAAAAATTTTCCTAATTGAGAATCCAATTTATGCATTTGGAACCTTTGTGGGAAGGAAATAAGAGCCACATA